AAATAGCACAACCTTGAACTCAGAATGTTTGTTTATGACTCTATTAAGTCCTCAAAAGCTCGTAAAAAATCCGAATACTTCACCGGATCGACTGAGAACAGGGGAATTTCTGGTTTTGGTAACGTAATGGCTAGTGTTTGGAACTGCTTCTGTCTTAACAATTCCTGAAGTCGCTGATTTTGTAGCAGCTGCATCCTTTGGACCTCGACCATGTTGCTGACGTTCTTGTGACTCATATCTAGGTGTCGTGCAAGTAATCCACCCTCAATGGTTTCACCATGGCTCGTAGAGGTGGGAAGTGTGCAACCCTTCCACTCAGGAGCTTCAACATTTAGCGAAGTGCTGGCTTCTTTATTCCCTTGTGATTGACGCTGTAAGACTCCCACCGTCCTTTCCCGTTTAACTTGATTGATTTGAGCAGGGATTGAAGTTTGCAAACGGCTTTGTACTTTGTGGTGTCAGTGGAAAGGATTTCTGACTCTTAGGAACCACCACAGAATTTTCATTCATTGGCACGGAGCGAAACGAAGTTGTTCCGAGCTCACATTATAACGCGTATATTTGGAGGAAATCAGCGATGAGGAATCATGTACACTTTTTACGAAAGGAGATATTGATTTGACGCGACAAACTAATAGCATCAATCTTTTTTTCTTCCGCACCGGGATTTTTTATTTTAACTAGTTGACATCAAACCATCAGACAACGGCGGGTAGAAAATGGAGGCCACCACGAGAAACACACGGTCGCTTGCGACGTCTAAATTAATGAGACAATGCTATGGTATTAGGAAATACCGATAGTTAGAACTGCTAACCAACCAGGCTTCGCGCTGTTAGAATCCAAAGTAGATGATAATACTGGGCCACTATCAAAGCTACTTTTTACGCTGTACATGCTCAGTGTAACTAACAGAACTCAAACGCATACTGCATTTACATCAAATTTTGGAATGCTCTTTGCATAACATTTATTTGCATAAACAGTTGCTCAAAAACTAGATAGCGCTATCCACTGGATAAATCTCTGTCCAGTGGATAACGCAATTGGTTCCCGTACAAACATTTATCCGCTGCATAGTAATTTCTCCGACGGATCGCGCTATCCAACGTTTGAACAGCCGGGGCCAGTCCTCTTAGATTACTGCTAATGTAAGGACTGAATCACCATTAAATAATTTGTGTCTACTAACCTTGAACTTAGGTCTCTATTAAAAAACGGTTGAGAAAACCCTCCACTGTGTGTAATAGATAGCCACTGTAATTTAATCCAAGACTGGTGTAACGCTATTATATTGGAGTACAATCGATTGCAATAAACGCGTTTAACACATCATGGTCAAGTCAAAAGGTGTTTGTTTTTCTAGCTCTTAAAGGCGAATATAATTAATTTTCCTATTCATCTCCAAACAAAACAAAATTTCTTTCGTTTTAACTGTTTTGTAATATTGACTTTTTTTTCTTGAGTGAAATCCCTAGAACCCTTTTGTAAACAGGCCTGGGATGAGTGCTCTTAAGATGCTATTGGAGTAGTGTCACGGAAACTTTGCTCACTATAAAGGCTGTACAAATCCGTTTGTTACGATCGTGTAATTTGTTAATTATCTTATATTTTTTTTAGCAGGTGTTGATGCTCAACATGTCAATCTGTTTTATTTTTTAAGATTTAAAACAGCAAAATGTTATCTCTATCGATGTGAAGGTACCTTGCATAAAAGTAGCTTTTATTGCCAACCTACGACTGAAGTGTCGAGGTGCAGTAGTTTTTTGGAATCTCTAACGCTACTTTATTCAGGAAAATAAAAGGTGTAGCAGTTAGTGCAGTATATTTTAAAAATGTAACCAGTTCCTCTTTGAATTGTCCGGGGCATCTTCTATTAATTTGATTTCTAGCGGCATGGAAGTAATCTATTTACAGCGCTCCAGCCCACTCTCCTATATAAGGTTGGGAAAAACTGGCGGCCAAACGGACGAGCCATTAGCGTTCCGAGATAATATAATGCCAAAAAGAGAGACCACACGGCACACCCCAACCTCGAAGCCCCCAACCTAAAACCGCTAAACCTAAATACCCCCAAAACCAAAAGATCCAAACTCAAAGGAAAAACAACCCAACGAGGTAAAAGGAAACTAAAAACGAGAAATGAAACTTCAAAACAAAGTATATTGGAGGATAGTACAAGAGACTACCAACGCCAAATAAGACCGCCAAAATGGCTGTTACGGGAAAACAAATAAAAAATTCTGGCAAGGGGAACGAGATAACCCAGACTACAACAAATGAGGCACATTCAATAAACACATCGGAAGACCTGCATACCGCAAACATTTTAAGGACAACCCCGCCAGCCAGAAACAAATAATCACAGGAAGGTCATTGGTTTGCCAGAAATAAATGAATACATCGGTTGACCGAAAACATAATAATATATAGATTTAGCCAAGGCTAAAAGCGAAGCTCCTACTAACTCGCATTTATAATTTAAATCAAACAATCGTATAAAACTTGTATTCCACAAATCAGTTAACTTTAGAGCACATTCATGTGACTTTTGATGGAAAGGCTAAGTAATTTTAGAGAAAAATGATTTGCAAACAGTCCAGGCTAAGACTGAAATTAATCTTACATCCACTTAATAGCCTTATATGTACACCTAAAAAATAGCATAGCCATAATGGTTCTTGATCACAGTACATTAGGAAAACAAATCAGGCCGAATTTTTTGCGTTCGATAAGTTTACTTTACAAAATCTTGCCAACAAGTCTGGAGACGTGTAAATCAACTTTTTATACTTTTTATACATCACATCTGAGGTGAAAATAGTGACATGAGGCGCTGTTTGTATCATACAGACCTCGGACAGAATGCAGTATTTCACAATTTTGCAATACAAATTGCACTCATTCAATATTCAGGACGATCGAAGCACGCGTTAGCGAAACCGTTAAAAAAATTTCCAAAATCACCTATACGGCGAGCCGGTTCTCACTTTTGACAAGCGCCAAAGTCGACTGTTTAAATAAACACAGTTATACGCTTCAGCATAATGGCTTTATAACGATGTGTAATCTTCAAAAGCGTTTGATACGCGCGGCATTTTGACCACTCCTGCAAGCTATGTTCATGAGCGACTGACAACAAACGGCACAACAGCGATGAAAATTGTAGAAGAGACTAATAACAATCAATAAAAGAAAAATAATTCGGTGAAACATATACAGAGACAACAATTTTCATTCACGAAGACAAGTATTAAAGTGTCTCTGAAAATCCTTGTTTATGTTTTAAGCCGGCTTCCCAGTGTTTGCGTTTTTCAAAGATGAACTCGAGGAAAAAAAATCGCTCAAAGCTTTGTTTTACAGCCTGAATTATAACTAAATATTCTTTGAAACGTTTTCTTTCCATTTGCGGTGAGAAAAGTCTGAAGGCTTTTTAAAGTTTTATAAGCTTATAATCAAACTTGATACTCGGTCAGATCATTGTCTCAAATCTTACAAACGTGAATAAACTAAATAGCCCCATAAACTACACTCGACTTCATTGAATTAGATATAAAAAACAAACATCAAATAAAATAATTACTCAGGCTTACCATTCGAGATGCACTGAAAACTAAATCGCTTCAGACTTTTCAACCCTCTCACGCATCAAGCAAGGTGAAAAACGAAAACGATGCCATCCGAAATCGGATTTCCGACTTTGACAAGCGACGTATTTCTCAACCAAAAACCCGATAAACAAACTAGCCATGAATAACAGAAGACTCTTGATAGCAGGTGAATTTCATTTTGTACAATGTTCAGTGGAGAAAGGCAGTTAAAAACATCACAAGTTGACACAAAACTCTGTCAGCTTCAGCTGTCAAAGTAAGCAAGTTTCAAGATGCTGCATGACTTTTCCGCACGAACTCACCTGTCAAATTTTGACCAATCAGAGCATACAAATTGGACGTAGAGCGTGACCAATTCGTGACCTTGGTGAGAAAAGTCAAAAGCAACTGGCATGTCTTCCCTTTCTGTAAAAACTGGCTGAATCTTAGCTTCTGAGGTCAGTTTGAAATCAAAATTTTAATTGTGCGGCACATATAAAACACAACCTATTTCATATGAATTGAAAAAATTAAACTTGAGCCTGCAATCATTTGAAAACTAGTAACTAGTCAGCGGATAACTTCAAAAAATACTCGAGCTCGATGGGTCGACACCTGAGCGCGCGATACGGTCAGGTGATAGTGGTCAGCGGGATCTTGTTTTGACAGCTGTCAATTGATCACAACATTGATGTGCAATATGTGTGCAATATCAGTTTTCCTGTGCTCCCAAACTAGCTAGAAAGTGTGGGATTGAACATTGGTTTCCCTGTGGTGCGGACGGACGGGCAGCGGGCGGGCGGTGTACGGTCACGTGATTACCAAATTTTCTGGGATGGGTAGATTTACTTACCCATGGTGCTCCGCTAAAAACGCCTGTAGCAGTTGAAAAAAAAAATACGACCGCATAGAAAAATGAACCCATAAATGCCGGCAAGGCCTAGGAGGAGCAATACGTTCGCAGCAAGGCAATAACATAGGAAATTCAAACTGCCTGCAAAGTCTAGCAAAGGCAATACGTTCTGGCTCATCAAGGAAAAAACAAGAAATTCAAACTTTTTTAAAAACGCCTGCAAAGCCTTGAAAAGGCAATACATTCTAAGCAAGGCAATAATTTAAAAATATCAACCTTTTAAGTGCCCGCAAAGCCCGTTAGTTAGTTAAGCAGTCTCTTGAAGCGACAATGACTGCTTCATTAACAGTTTAACCTTAATCAGGCCCCTCAAGGTCGTTCTGTCCTTTGCTCGCCGCTCAAGGTTTCTTTTCACGACGTCCTTGAATCTTAGCCTAGGCCGTCCTTGATTTCTCCTTTCATCGCGTAACTGGGAATACAACAGCTGCCTGGGAAGCCTGGCAAAGTCAATCCTCTCCACATGGCCGAGCCGTCTCCGATTCATATGAATTAGAATATCAGCAATAGGTGGAAGGCCAGCCTTCTCTAGAACCACTTTGTTTGGGATATTTTCTTTCCAAGAAATGTTCTTTATATCGTTCCCTGTGCTTAAAGACAGTGTTTATTATAGTCAGTTCATTTTCTGAGCAGAGTGCTAGCAGAGGTTCACCGTTGGAATCGCACTTCCCAATTCCATGATAGCCAGTGACTCCAGGCCATTTTTTAGCATCCGTTCCTACACGAGCGATGAAGTCACCAATAAGCACGAGTTTATCTCCAGGTGGTATTTTCCTTATTGCTGTCCGGAGGCTGCTGTAGAAGTTTTCTTTGGTATCATCCGGATTCTCCATAGTTGGAGCGTAAGCACTGATGATGGTGGCTTACTTGTTTTTACCAAGTGGCAATTTAAGCTTAATAAGTCTATCGTTAGTCAGCGTGTTCCTGCTAAAGCTGTCGAGTAATACTATCCTTTATTGCTAATCCTACTCCAAACTCTCTCCTTTCCTGCCTACCTTTTCCACTGCAGAAGAAAGTATAACCATGGTCACTAAAACTGTCGTACTTAGGTAAGCGGGTCTCGCTCAAGGCTGCTTTGTCTATATCATAATGGTTCAACTCCAAAGCTATCAGAGCATACTGACGTTCAAGTCTTTCTGATACAGTCCGATCCACTAAAGTTCTTACATTGCAGCTAAATAAAATTTCTTCCGATTCTTGCATCCTAGCAAACGTTTCACTGGTCCCCGGAGCGGGAGGCGACGAGCGCGAGCCTTGTTAACCCGGGCGGCGTTCGATCCAGGGTTAGGCTGCCTTCCAAACATAACCATGAAACTGCTTGCAAGAAATTTAAAGTACAGCTAGTTTTTGAAATTACTACAAGCACTATCTTTGAAAAAGATTGCCACTCGCCGAGTGACTCGTCGATAGATAACTGAGGCTTGTTTATCCGACATGTAGAATATAAACCACAAGCAACCACCTACAAATACAGGCTATGCAGCCATTCACTACAGCAATCGAGACGACAGTGTAGCTTCTTTTCTCGTTAAGCATAACCAGCTGGTGGCTTCAAACAACTTCATAACAAGCGACCGAGGTAATAGTTTTTCTCCGTTGTTCTTACTTTTGTAACTGCACCGGAATCCAAATTCACAGTAATTTCGACGGCTGTCACTTAAAAATTCTTTTTCTTCACATTATCTGCCAGGTTTTTTTAGCTGTCCTGCTGTGTAAAATCCTAGAGTCCCAATGAGTTTTCAAAAGTGTTCATCGCTACAATGTTTTGATTTTTCATTCATCCAGTCCTGGCGAGGTCTTTTCGCGCGTTGACAGTTTTGATAGACGTGTGACATGTGAAGAGCGAAAGTCCCTTGTTCTTTCCGGTTTGTTCTAACAAAACTAAGTCGGGGAGATTCAACGAGATTTTGTGGGCGTTTTTAAAAACAATTATTCCACTCGCGCTTGTTGGATATGGGATGATTATAGCGAACTGGGCGCTACGCGCCTCGTTGGCTACCTACCATCTCATATCCAACGGGCCCTCGTGGAATAACTGTTAAATACAATACTGCAATAACAAAAGTATGGTTCAAAAATTCACTGATAGACGCTTGTCAAATTTGAAACTGGAACAAAAGGCTTAATCTTTTTTTAAGACTCCTACACCAGACACGAGAGGGAGCTCGTCAAATTCCTCACCTTAACATTTGCTACTGCCGGCTATTTTTTTGGGGGGGGGGGAATTCCGTTTATAGAGATATCGAGCCCCTGTCCTTGTGTAAGAATCACTATTCTTTACGTTGAACCAACTAGCATATATTCTGTTTTAAAACTTTTAAAGTAAGTCTGTTTACTATCAGCCAATTTTGAAGGTATCGTAAATCGATATTCAGACACATCGTGTTGTAGTTCAGTTATGCTGCAAGCAGTGAAAGTCAAATTAGTATCATCTGCGTCCATTCGAGTGGTGTGTGGTAGCATAATCCATTATATTACAAAGATCATTTTTATGTATGTATAGTAGTGAACCCTGAGGAACACCACATTTTAGAATGGATCAGTCTCGGAGAATATTCCGTTTATATATACAGCCTTAAAATCTGTTAAACAGATAGGATTTAAACCATTCTAACGGGCGACCACGAACTCCGACAAACTCTAATTTCGTCAGTAGAGGATCGTGATCTACTGTGTCAAAGGCTTTCTTAAGGTCCAGAAATACAACTACACTTATCATCCCCTTATCTATATTAAAATACCATTGATTGGCAAGATCAAGAAGGGCAGTTCCTGTTGAGTGAAGGGGTCCAAAGCCAGATTGTCGACGTGGATATAATATGTTATTTATAAGTAAATAGTGGTTAAAGGTTATGCAGTGTTCCAAAGTAGTTTCTTAAAAGAAAAACTAGAATACGAAAGGAGTACCTTTATTCCAGAAGTGGTATATAAAAAGGTAAGGGGTTGGACCTCGGGTTAGACCTTGACCGTAAGAAATTGTGAAGGATACATCCCCCGCTACCCTTTCAGGAATGTACAATCTTTTTAAGGCCATTAATTTTAAGTTGTATTCGTTAACAGGTTAATAACATAAAAAAGTGTAAGTTCTATTGTATTTTTTTCAGGTCTCTCGACGGAAACCGAATCAAGGAAATCCCTGAACGAACCTTCGAGAATACGAGAAAACTTAAAATAATGTACGTAAGTAGTATAGGGCGCACCGGTTACTCCTGTTTTTTGGGCGGGAATTTCATTAACTTGGGCAGAAATACATTGGCTGTGGTCACACTTGGGCTTTTTTTTACTATAGTAAAGTCGAGTTTACTACTGTAAACGCGTTTTCTAATGTGACCGGCTTTTCTCATTTTACTATAATGGTAAATACTGATCTAGTCTGTTGCGGTGACAACGGCGGTGGGATGAAAAAGTTTACCGTAGCAAACTTTCCTAAAAAGATATGGTTTATCGCTGATATATCTAAACTTTGTTTATTCAGTTGACATCTTGTCGCATTATTTGAGATGCGTCCCGTGAGTGTCTCGTTGCTTGCTGAATACTTATACTTGTATTTTTAGCGCTGCCAGCCTATTTTTTTTCCTTTTTTCGCGCCAAACAGTACAGTAGAGATGCCACAGTGGTCAAACAATTTTCGCTTTCATTCTAGGTAAGTCCACAGTAAATTCTGGATTTCAAGGAATAATACGCCTACATCTAATGTTCGTGTTTCATTTCTGAGTCGAGCCTAAAATTAGAAGTAAATCTTTCAATTCAAGTGTTTTATATTCCGTGTAGCCATATTTTTTCTATCTGTTGTCTGAAAACAAATGCATATGGAGTTTGGTTGGCACGCTTTTTAAAGAAAACTGCATGTTCTTTTCACTTTAGAGTTCCACCGTTCCGCAAAAGTTTGGTAATCCCACCGGGCGGTTTTTCAGACGATCACGGCCGCGAAGTACTTCAGCATGGACCGCTTATATTTGGTCGAGAAAGTAATGGGATAGAAGCAGTATCAGCAGCGGCACAATTTCCAGTGAATGCAACTCTCCAAATGAGACATGACAACCATTTGCCCTATGATTTGGTGCCGAGAGAAAGTACCGCAACGCTACAAGGGCACACAATTCAGACAAGTGACCCAAAGCCGAAAAGCGCCGAGCAGTCACGCAATCGATGGGTAGAAGGAGAAGTGAAGCTTCTCATTGCAATCTATGGTGAGGAATATAAGAAAAGAGATAAAGGAAGAAACCTGGATTCCATGTGGGAGAAAATAGAAGCCAGATTAGCGGAAGAGTCTAAAGAAGTTCTCAATATACATTGCCAAAAAAGTCAGCCAAGAATTGCCGTGATAAAATGAACAATCTCAGCAAAAAACACAAGAACGTAAAGGACAAGAGCAAAATGACAGGGGAGGGCAGCGAAAACATCAAATCATTTCCCGTGTTTGATGAATTATGATGGATTTGGGGAACAAGAGATTCTGTGAATCCTAAGTATGTAATGGAGGCAGGAACGTCTAAGTCGGCCATCGCCACACCAAGTCCAAATTCCTCCATGTCTTCCTCAGGTAGTGGACATGGTACTTCGTTTGACCCCCTCGAGGATAGCAGTGATGACATAGATGAAACCCTATCCTTGTCTTCTACAATTGCCAGACCTACTAGGAGTGAAAAAACAGAAAAGGGACGTAGACAGGAGAAAAGAAAACGATGTCAGCCTTCAAATGACGATGACGGCAAAAAAGACGAGGATTTAGAATATTCATCCAGTTTGTTTTTCAAAAAGAAGCAAAAACAAGCAGATTTAAAAAAAAAGGACAAATCACCAAAAACACAAAGCGGAAAGCGCAGAAAGGGGCCAAGAAAGAAGATGAAGAGGATGAAATGTATGCTGGGCTAATCAAAGCGCAAACGGAGGCCTTAAAGAAGACAGAAGAAGAAAGGAGAGAACTTTTTGACTACCTGCGAGAGTCAGACAACCGCACCCAAGAGTTAGTTTTGGTGCTATCCGAGAGCTAGGCGAAATTCTTAAAAAGTAAACTATTGATATGCACTCTTTTAGAACTAGTATCGTACAGTCGTACAAACATTAGAGTTGTGTTCCATTTTGACAAACTTTATTTTTAAATATGATGAAATATACTGTTCTCGTAAAATAATAGGCATCAGTGATCGCTTTGGTTTCATCTTGCATACTTTTTTTTCATTTTTCAAAATTCTGATAAGCTAACAACATTTTTCACGATTACAATAAAATTACCATTTTTCAAGATTTTTTGTATAAAAGAACATGACTTATTTACCGTTCATGCTGAACAGGATGCAAGACTGGTATATGACCCGCAGGGAGGGAGGCTCTTGATTCAAATTATGGCGTAGGGGTGTTGCTGAGGGTTTGCAACCCTGGCAAAAACGAAACCTAAGTACCCACCCGCGACCAGTACAGGAAAACAAGTTCTGGTGACTCGTTATGTTTAAATTGTGGAAAAA